GAAAGGGAAGGGCCCGACGTGACTGCACAGCATCCCCTAGAGTCTTCCGTATTGGCAATTAAGGAAATTACTCTGATGTTTAAATAATGTATTCACTTTGATCGGTTTTGTAACAACTCGTTTGTATGATTTATTGTCATAAAAATAAAAAAAAATACTATGAATTTTTGGGACGTTACACCGTAACCCTAGTTTGAGCCTTGTGTGCTAAAGAATGTGGCTTTGAGTGCCTTTGAAGGAAGGAGAAGGTGGTGATTGTGCTTAGAAGCTTGAAGCAGCCTTGGATCTGGAAGTTCTTCTCCCTTATTTATCTCCAGAAGGTATAAAGTTTATACCTTTATGCCTCAATTGTTAGATCTAGTTTAGAGATCAAATTTATGTCATTTTTGTCCCATAATTGGTCCATTTGAGTGTGAGTTGTTCCTAAGCTTGTGAGGTGCTTTTTCAGGTGTATTTGGGAGTGTTAAGTAATAAAAATGTAATCTCAGTCTTGTTCCTTCTTTCATGCATGAGTTATAAAGCTTAGAATCTTATGATAAGTTAGGGTTTTGGATTTGGACCCTTTCTAGCCATGCAACATCATAAATTTGGAAACTTTATGATTTAGAATATCATTTGGACCTAGATTTGAGTGTTGGACGAAAGGTCTTAAGGGATAAAGTGCTTAATGGAATGATTGGGATTTGTTTGCATACGTTAGGCGTACCTGTGAGTACGTTGGGCGTACTAGGTCTGGACCACGTACGTTGGGCGTAAGTTGAGTACGCTAGGCGTACTCAGCCAGCCTTGCACTTTGACTTTCGTTGACTTTTTGACCAAGTTTGATCTTGGGTCAAACTTGAGGATTCAAGGCTATTAACTAAGATTCTATCTGGTTCTGGTGTTAGTGGATTCGCGGGTGCAAGCAGTATAGAAAAGGGATCGTATCGCAGTGTTTGAGAGTTCTTCTATTCACATGGTTTTTTCTCACTATACACGTGGGTCGAAGGCACCAATGTCAGCCCACTAGGTTATGTATCCTGGTATATAGGATGTTATGTTGTGGTGATCTATTAGATCTGTATCCTGGTATATAGGATGTTGTTGTGCTATAGTGATCTGCTAGATCTGTGTATATATCCTTATATGATAGGATGTTGTAGTAGTAGTATACTAGTTATCATATAGTGGAGTGCCCTAGGGGTTGTATGTAGTCATGTATCGCCTGAGAACTCTTTATCTATGCTTTCATGTCTGTTCCTTGTTTGGTTGTGGCTCTAGAGTATGATCATCTGTTCGAGTGGCTATCTCACCTATAGTTACTTATGGTTATGCATTTCATGGAGATTAGCTGGTATCGGGACAGTGTGTTGTGAGAAGAGTAGTAGGTGGTATTGAGCTGTATGATTCATGTTTACCTGTATTATGTGCCTACTTGATCCTTGATTTTTTGTATGTCGACATATGGTGGTAGTGGGTTGAGGCGGTCCTATTTTGTGTTGTAGGCCAAGATACCCGGTGTGGACCGACTGTAAGTCGTAGGCACGGAGGCTCAGGAAGAGCGGTTAGGTTGAGGTGGTAGGCCAACAAACTCTGGATATTCCAGACTGATGGTTGATTGGACCCATTGCATGTTTGCATTCCAATCTAAGGATTGACTGGGCCTAGGCATTCGAATCTGTTGATTGTGAGCCGTTATGCATGCTTTTATGTTTATCGTATGTGGTATTTTGGAGGAACTCACTAAGCTTTATGTGTACCCTGTTGTTTATGTTTTTCATATTTTATCGGTGATCTTGGGAAGACGAATGTGGGACTATATACACCCATCAGCAGCATGAAGATTCCGCGTTTCTTATAATACTCTGATTTTCAATAAATGTATTTTGGAATAAACGGTTTTCTTAATAATGGATTTATAATTGGAAAGTTGTACCTTAATAAAATGAAAATTTTTGGTTGTGAAAATGGGATGTTTCAACTTTCCAAGTTTACTATACCATTTTTCATTTCGTCAGTCACCTCATATCTGCTTTGATCAATCTGGTATACCCGAAAAGTAGAGGATTTGTTGATCCTCCTATCGATGACCTTCTCAACATACTCAGTAACATCTTTTTTGCTTTCAGCTATAAAAAGCATTTACGTATATGTTGTCATGCACAGTAAATTTCACTACAATTATCATGAAAGTATTACAATATAAACACTTACCTCCAACATTATGTCACTGACACCACCATTGTTGCATAGTTGCTCGAAAGAAATCAATCAACATTGTTATTGGAATTTTTGGTGTATCTCTTGATAATGCATTAACGGACTCGACACTGTTTAATGTCATAATATTGTACCCAACCATAGGAAAATATGACCTTACCCATCTCTTGTTACCGATTATGTATAGCCATGTATGACAATCATTGTTTAGTGCACGATGTAGCCTAAATCAGACTCTCGGTAAGCTTTTGCAGCCTCCCAAAACAAAATCTATGTTCTCTCTTGCTTGTCGATCTTTACTCTCATATTTATTAACAAATGGCGACAGCGGAGTCTGTAATATGCATTCGGGAACATGGCTTGAATGGCCAATTCAATTGAATTGGTTCTATCTGATATGATAGCCAAAGACGGCATGTCCCCAATACATTCTTTGAGTCTTGATAAAATCATATACATGACTCTCCACTTTCAGTTTTCCCAACACCAAATGCAATAGGGATGAACTTGGTTATTACCATCCATGCCTACTGCTAGGAACATGGTACCCAAGTATTTCCCTTTAAGGTGTGCCCCGTCAATGATAATAATGGGACGCAAACTTGTTTGAAACGCTTGAACCTAAAAAGTAATTAATAATCTAATTAAAGCGAACACACGTGCATGGACATTAAATATAAAGAAGTCAATATATAAAAAATATTACCGCGCAATCGATAGCCATGAAAAAGTTTTCAAATTTGTTGGCATCACTCATCTTTATATGTGTAACCGTCCCTGGATTCTTCTTCTCCAAGTTGTAACAATATAAAGGTAGTCTTTGAAATCTTTCTCCAAGGGTCCCTCTCAATAGATTTAGAGCATACATTTTAGCATTCCATGCTTGCCAGTATGAAATATGTATACGAATATCATTTCCGCCGCAACATATTACCCGTACTATCAGCTAGTACGCCCTTCAAGAAGTGAACCAATACTTTTTTGTTGGTTTGTCTGTGATGGGGACGTAGTTGTGTGTTTGAGCAAGTGTGTTTCTCCGATAGTTTAACCACTTGAAATGTATGAGTAGTATTATGTTTTGTTGCCCGTATCCAACAATCATAATTATCCATAAAGCAAACAGCTTCAAACCTTTCTTTTGTAGATTTTTTCACTTTATATTGGAACCCTTCACTAACACTTTTGAATCCTAAATTAAGCTTAAGTGCTTATTTGCTTTTGAAGAGTTGGTATAACTTCAAATTGGAAGTATAGTTGTGCATTGTGTCCCCTTTACATTTTTGTTGAGCTAATTCGGGCAATAATAAAGGTTCATGCATACCCCAATGGGTGGTTTGTGTTTCTTCGAATCGAAAAATAAAAAAGGAAACTTTATCTCTTGTGTTTTTCGAGGTTGTAAGGGATCAGTTTCCTCCTCTCCACCTTCAGGATCATCCCCATCAAATTCAATGTAACTCTGAAAATGTTCAACTGGCTCTCCATGTGGAATTATATTACCATCATCAACCAACATTATTAGTTTTGTCTCATCATTCGCAGACAACATCAACAGTAGGGTCAACGTGAACAACAGTCTTACCTTTAGACTTATAATCACCCCCATCTATAATGTCATTGTAAGAAGGAACATGGTTGGTTGTCATAGGTAGTAAATTACAAATTTGGTTACTTCCAACACCAGAAGACCCATTTCCACCAGAACGATTTTCCCCGGGAAATCGATTAGTACCAATTTTCATAACATTATTAACAACAAACAATTATATTGTGGTAGGAAGCATACTACTAACAAAACTAAGAATATATTTGACATCACTATCGTCAAGAATCTACATAAATAAATATATTTGATTCAGGACATTGAAAATATAGACGAATTTGATTAGTGTGTAACCTGGACTTGTAAGCAACCAGCATAACCATCCCAACGAAGTTGATATCATTGCTTATATCTACACCAAAGTATGTGTAGTCTGTAGCAAGATACTACATACATCTATCGATACGTTGCCTTTGCCATCCACTAGAAACTGGCACTTGAAAAAATTTCGTATACATACTCATTTTGGAAAGTATCAAACACACAAATATATTGCATATATGGAACAAAACCATACAAATACCGTAATTCTGACTCTCCGGAACATCACTCCGGAATGTACGGTCATTCCGAACTGTAGTCTGGAACGTACGAGATGTCAGATTCCGGACCAAAGTTCCCACCAACTCCGGAACATCATAAATATTCTGGAATATCGTATTCCGGATCCCAAGTCTTGAACGAAAGTATACGCTTCGGAATACGATATTCTGGAGAATGTGGTCATTTCTTTAAAAAAAATTAGACTAGTTATTTTTATTAACAAGCACGTTTATAAGGGTTTTACTCAATTTCCCTATTTTTTTGGCTTGCCAAATATGACAACTAAAATACCTCAAAAAATAAGATACTTGTAGCGCACTTTGCCTAAATTGTTTTTTCAAAAACTAGTTTATAAGTTATTTTAGGCTTACCAAAAAACAACTTAAAAAAGTTTTCAGAAAAGTAAAATTAAACTATTATGGCACCCAAACACAACCTTACTAACATACATAAAAAAGTTTTTACTAGTTGAGAAGCTTATGCACTTTGTATTAGAATTTAGATGATGGTTTTTGACTTTTGATAATCATAGTTTAGAAAAACTAATTTATCATAATCATATTTCAATTTTAGTTTATATCTATATCCCATATCTAATTTTACATATTTCAAAAACTTCCAGTTTCCATAGAAAAAAAATGATATTTTATAATTTAATATCCCATATCAACAATCGCCACGTCAACAAAGAATACATGATGGTATAAGAAACAGAAAAAGAAATGCAGTGTTTGATAAACAATAAGAGTAGAGAGCCTGAAATGAAAAGATGATATGACAAGAAAGTTTGGAAAATTGTCTTTTCCGTTTTGTTTATAAATAATAAATAAGAATAATAAAATTACAGAAAATGTATGCATCTATGTATGAGGGATGGATGATGTTCTTTGCTGTCTGGTATACTCCCAGAGAGCAATGGCGCCGCTGACATGAACATTGAGTGATCTTATAACTCCTGATTGAGGGATTTCAATGCAGCCATCCAGTATATGAATCAATTCCACCGGGATCCCCTCCTTTTCTCGACCAAGTACTAAAACCTGTATGATGCATCACATTTAATTTTAATTTATTTATAACAACAAAGTTAGCCAAACAAACAGCTGAGTTGCAAGGATAGAAAAAAATGACTAAATCAACCTTCAATTCAATAATTTTACTTACTTTTAAAGGTTGCAAAGGAATACAAATCTATCTTAATCAATGCATTAAGAGTAATTCTGAATTTTTATGGAACTAAACTCAAAATCCCATGGATTAGTACTCATCATTGACCAAAAATACCTTTCTTTGATTATTATTAGAAAATATGATGTGGACCAAAATTCTGACACAATCAATATAATTCTTTATTCTTGATTCCCAATCCCCTCAATTTAGCAACTAATATGGGAGTGGGACATCCACACCCATCCCAAAATGAAAATCGATATTTGGTAATTTGGTATTCCAATCAGAACTGTTAAGTGATAGATAGATAGATAGAAATATGGTTTACTAATTACAAAATAGACAAATTACAAATATCTGACCCAAAGAAAATATGAATAAACTATCCTCCTTCCTAATATATCTATGGCTTAAGCTCTTTGTGTCGTAGCCTTGTCTTTGTGTTTAGGGTAAAATGAAAAAAACAACAATGTAAATGTGATAAAAATACTTAGTGTTATAATTTGGTAGATTTTCAAAGCTTAGCATTGTATTGTCTAGCCAACCCAACTAGAGTCTAGAGCATTGAATTGAATTGAAGGGGGTAGTTTGTCATCATTGGGCATGAAATTTTTTCTTATCAAGTAGGAATTGAAAGGTCAAAGCTTTGTAGGGCTATTTTCCAGGATGAGAATTGAGAAAACAACTACAAGAGATGGAAAGAGAATTGGCCCATTGACTAATGCATGCCAAACACATTACAAGACCCGACCGTTTGTTGTGCTGTGTAACAAACAAACAAACAAAGAGAAGAAAAGAAAAGTAGTAATGAAATGAACAAAAGTAGACAAGTGGGGTGGGGTGGTTGTTTACCGTTTTTGTAGGGAAGAGATATTGGTCAAGAGAAAGGCTGTTGGCGGTTTGCTCTAAACCGAGGATAGAGAAGCCCTCTCCTTTCTTCTTCTCCAAGAAACCCTTAACATTGCTAACAGGTACCTCTATTATGGGAACCCACTTCTCTGCAGTCACACTGCCAACAAACAAAATAACCTTCCTTACTTTAATTCCAAAGTCCAAACCTTGTTTTCGCTTTTTCACTTAAAATGAGGAATACATAACATAAATAACAACACAGTCTCATTGCCTTGCTCATACCAATATACATGAGAAACCATGCCATGGACAACATATTTGTTTAATTTGCAAAAAACTTTCTATATCTAACAACTACAGTGCAATGGAAACCGGAAACAACTAAGCTTTAATTTACTTATCAAGTCAACTTATATGAGTTATAAGATACGGTTCCATTTAAGATAATAATAATAATAATTTGGTGGAGACGACTGTATTGTAGTAACAGAAAAATGTATGCAACACACCCACCCTTGTCTCATGGCAACACACTACTTTTTTTCTTTTTTTGGTTTGGATAAAGTACCGACTGAAAAAATGATGTTTAAAAGATATTTAGGAAAAACACAACACCTAAGTTTGAATAACAAACCTGATAAGTTGAAACTGCTTGTCATGCACAATGTTTGCATTATCAATCACTAAACTCGCTGCTTTAAAAACCTGCACATCATCACACAGTATTTGTGAGAGCATGTGGATTGTATATAGCATCTGCAAACAACCTCAGTGACTGCTATTTCTGAATAAAATGGTTAAATGCAAGAAATAACAACATACTTCCATTGATTCAGTTATTATAGGATCTTACTTTCATTTCTTCCTATTACAACAATCAACTTTGAAAAATCCAGAAAATTATTACAAACTGGTTTTAGATTTTAAAAAGTAGAATGTCCTAATAGGGATAAAAAAAAAAGGTAGATTTTTCAAGAAAAGTGAAAGTAGAAGGATGTTATAGAAAGAAAGAAAGAAAGTGAAAGTACCTCACAGGTGCGTGCCAATCCAGCAAGGTTAGGCACACGATCAAGTAGAGAAGCTACAAGAATGATTTGTTGTCTTCCAGCTTTAAGTTTATCCATACCAACATGTCTTGCTCTTACTGCCTCATCAACAAGCTCATCCTCCTTTTCCACATCTACATACACATAACACTCAAATCAAAACTAATTTACCCAATTAAAACATCACTTTATTTTTGCATTTACGTTTACTATATAAGGAATCACCAATTTATCAACTTAGCAACTTAATTATTTGACCGGTGTTAATTTTTCTTAATAGGACATACTATTCTGGAAAATCAAACCAATTTTAGCAGTGAAAAATGATTCGTATTTGCACTCCATTGCTACAGCTCTTTTATTTGTTTATTATAGCTTTCTACTTTCATTTTTTCCTATCACGGGATTGTACTTTGAAAAATCTACCCTATTATAGCAACGTTGTCCAAATACAAAGCAAATTTCACTGCTATAAGTGGATAGACTTTTCCAAAGTACAATGTCCTAATATGAAAAAGATTTTTTTTAAGGTAGACAATAATGTTATTGTTAGGTAGAGTTTTTGAAGTACAACAATGTTTTAATAAGAAAATCTTTTATGTATAATCCTGTAAGTTGATATTCCTTACATTTTATTTAACCCTTATGCAAATGTTAAAACATACCCAAAAGCGAATTAAAAGTGGCGTTTCTGTTTATAGAGGTGGAATGCGAATCCTGGAACTCATGTTTGGAGACAGTAACTTTTTTCTGGAAATCCAATGACACATCATTCTGCAATTTTGAAGTTATGACTTGACCAATTGACTCAGAATCTTGCACATGTATTTGCTCATTTTTCAGTTGTGTTGCATCCTTAGCCATTGAACATCTGAGGTCTTTTCTGACATCCTGCAATTGTATGGAATGATGAAGAAATAGAATGGACAGGATAATGGAATGAATTTTCTTATGGATTTTTCCATATTATATGTAAATACAACGATTAGTTCTAAATTTGAACTCTAATTTACATTTCATGAACTTTCATTTACAAAATTAACAGAAGATTATAAAAACAAACAGTTATTTTTAATTCCATCATGCGAAACAATATCTTACATTTAGAAAGTCGATGACGCGCTCTAAGAGGGATACATGAGCACATTCAAATTGGATGTCCTGTAAATGAGAGAAATTATCCAAAATGAAGAGAAATTGGTGGTAATCAACAGTCGTTGCTAATTTGTACAAGTGTCTATTTCTTACGTCCACTCGATTACTGAAAATTCCAGCTGGCATTATGGATTTGTTTGGATCAAAAGCATCAAGATGAACTTCCATCGATACTCTCAACCTGCCACACAGGTCAAGCCGTTTTCTACCATTAAAGAAAGCACTTGTAGAAGATGCAGTAAGTGAAGCCAATGTCTAGGGGTAAAAAAGAAATGCATATTGGGGTATCTGAGCATGGGGAATGAAATGAGTCATTACATTCCACGATCATGTTTGGTTGGCTTGTAAGAATAGAATGAATTTTCAATGTTGTATAGTAGACTCTAATTTCTATACATTATATAGTTGAAAATACAACAGCAGCAAACACCCAGAGTCCCATTAGATTCCTTTTCATATTCCAACATACGAAATGGTAGGCGTATGAATATGATAAAATAGCATAATAAAGGTAAAAACATGTGAGTGATACATACCGTGCACAGTCAGAGTTATCCTTCAAATAAGATTTTAATTCCATGAAGCACCTTTTCTCCAAGGCGGGCATTTCATCATCAAGTGCAGCCGCAGGCAACAATTTGGAAAGAACTTGGTATACTAATAACTGCATAACAACAAATCCATATTCAGACTTGAATGGGTCCATCTCCCTCCTCCTTGTCCTAGAAAGTTTGTCAAAAGTCCTGTCCAATCCCGTTTTGAAAAAGGAAATACCAATACCTGGGTAAAACCACGTAAACTGTGGTGATGTGACGTGAGCAGAGGAACAATGGGAGGAAGCAATTCATCTAAATGTCTAGTTGATTGAGGAGCATGAAGAATCACATTTGCTGCTATGAATACATATGATGACAGAGCCTGCACATACATCACCACAAATATGATTAATCAATCGCAACAAGTTAACTTATTATTATCAAGGTCTCGTACTGTGTCAAAAACTGCAATTATTATTATTATTATTTTTTTTATCCAAAAGGCGTTAGTGAATGCCCCTCCCCTCCTCCAAGTCATTTTCCCAAATATTTTTTAAACATCATTTATTGTGGAAAACAAGGCCTGAATCGGATTAATTTTAGTTTATAATATCAGGTAATGAATGATACTTGCCTGGGTTCTCATATCGTATTTCCGGACCATTGGGACTAACTGCTCACCAACCTGCAAGTCGATGCATACATACAATAATACAGTTAATTGTAATAAACAAGCAAATTGTTTTTTCGGGGTTAAATCAAACATTCCCTTCCTTCCTTCCTCACCAGTGATGGAAACTTCAAATATACATAGATCGCAAATGTTTCCAAGTACTGTCGAACACCAGGCATGTTGTTTCTCTACATCAACATTCAACAGTAAAAACTAAAAACATTATATCATGGAATCAATGGATACTACCAAACGAATATTCACATAACATCTTAATATCACCGTACTTAATACCAACACCTCTTAATGGACTTAACAACCAACACCCTAACTTCAGTTTAAATCATTCATCATGTTGTGATTACATATTATTATTATGATCAATTTATGTTATTAATAATCATGTTGTGACTAGATATAAAATTTTAGTATCTCATCTTTATTAAGTTTGGTCAATTAAAATTTCAAGTTTTTCATCACTTTTTAAACACGGGTAAATTAGTCATTTACTCTGGTTCAGACATCCTGACCAAAATAAATAAATAAACATACACAACTTTCTCCGAACACACAACATTTACCTAATGGGAAAAAAGAAGCAAACCCTAAGTCTGATGACTAAGGGCATTGAAAGTTTGTTAAATTCTTGATTGACTACTGCCACATTCTAAGTCCATTGTTGGTCAACCATCAGATTTTTTAGACTTTAGAGTAAGATGTGTACAAAATTATAATTATTCAAATGAATTGAGTTTTGCAGATTAATGACAATATGAGGGTTTAGAAGTTGCTCAACCTAGATCACGTACTAACCCCTGTTTCTTGGAGTTTCTAATGAGAAGATGAGTGAAGCAATGAAGAAATGCAAGTAACAGCATTGTACTTTCATTTACACCCTGCTTCCTTTCTTTTTCTATTACAACATTGTACTTCCATTTTTATTCTTACTAAGGCATCACCTAATATTATAACATTGTATTATCAATCGTTTTTTTTTTTCTTGTTGGGCATTATACTTGAAAAAAATCTACCCAACTATAGCAGTGAAATTGCTTTGTACTATGATAGAATTGATATAATTGGATAGACTTTTCAGAGTACAATGCTAGAACAGGAAGAAATGAAAGTAGGATGCTATATTAAACAAATAAAGAAAAGGATGCTTCTGTTTTTAATCCAAAAAGGTAATATATATATATATATATATATATATATATATATATTCTTTCCTAATCATAAGGACTTTCTTCCTAAGCATAGGTCAAATGTGCTAGAGCATCAAGAAACAGAATCTTCTTTTTCCAAACAAGTTATTTGATGATACTAGTGAAGCCACATCTACTTACATAAAGGGCCGTATGCAAGCAATCCATTACTTGAGATACTATTTCTTCATCAACAAATCGCGATAATATACAGATCATTTGCCAGGCACGAACTTTCCGCCTATGAGTCTGCCACAGAAAGAAATCAAGACAACACAAGTTGAATTACAAGGAAAAAGACGTATTTTCAGCATATTACTTTCCATTACAGCATTGTACTTTCAATTGTTTTTTCTTTAAGACGTATTTTCAAAAGTACACTCAATTATAGAATTGTAACTTTAAATTTTTTTTTCTTTCTAGGACGTTTTACTTCAAAATTATCTGTGAAAACCGTTTTGTATTCAGATGACATTGCTATAATTGGGTGTATTTTTCCAAGTACAATGTTGTAACAGAAAGTAATGAAAGCAGGATGCTATAATAGATATATCAATGAATGGCTAAATGTAAGAAATAGCAACATACTTTCATTTACCTATGTAGCAGCATCCTAATTTTATATATTTCTATCAGAGCCCGGCAATTTCTTTTTCTTTTTTTATCAAAGCATTGTATTTTGAAAAGTGTACTCAATTATAGCATTGTAGTTTCAAAGGTTTTAGAACTAGGGCATATTATAGTTTGAAAAATCTACCCAACTAAAGCAGTGAAAACTTCTTGTATTCGGATGACATTGCTATAACCGGATGGATGATTATTGACTATTGAGAGTATAATGTTGTAAGAGAGAAATGAAAGCATGATGTTATGATAAATAAATCAATTGCTATAATGGCTCGAAACTAACCGCACTGTACTTCTTATATAACTCCTTGGCAAGGTCGGTGTCACTCACCTGCATTTCAAATCATCACAAATCACAATGACACAATCAGCCAGAGCCAGACAACACATGAAATGATAATCGGAGGAAAGTAGTCATTCTAGTCCGTATAATATTCCAATTTCAAAGACTATAGTAGATGTAGATCATATGATGTCTAAAATAAAAACTTCCTAATTTGCAGAATGTTTTGGAAGGAAATGGAAATACAAAAATCTTGCAGAAATTGAATTCTATTATGTGTTTGGTTGGCAGGATCAGGAAATGAGATGGGATTATCGAGCCTTCATGAGTGAGAGTGAGAAGATAGAAAACTAAAGCAAATAGAGAGGTGTTTACAAAAAAGGAAATATTGTTTCATCGGTCAAAAGGATTTTGTAAATTCAACTCCAATGGAAATCATCTACAACCAAAGGTGGCGAACCAAATGCTCATACAAGTATTTCCAGTTTCAGACTCATCCCTCACATGTCTATAACACATTAACAGAAAAAGTCAACAGAATTCATCATCAGCTTTTATTGGGCTGAATAGCTACATGCTTCCGCTTATATATCATGTATACCATAGCATCTAACTTTCATTTCTTTCTAATTCTATTACAGCATTGTACTTCCATTTTTTACTTATTAAGGAAAAATAACCTTGTACAAACTTAGAAATTATAGTATTTTATCTTTTTGTATTTAATTTCCATCAGTATAATTGGGTAATATTTTCAAAGTACAATGCTAAATGTAATATGAAAAAAATAATTCAACAGCTGTAGTGAAAATTACCACAGAATTTAAGAACTCAAGCAAAAACAGTTTGCCAGATTGCAGGGAAGCATGGCTGCTTTCATTTTCATCATTTGAGCCCACCGTATCCGCCAAGTCTGCTAGCTTGTTGAACATAACAGCAACAGACACCCTTGCATAAAGCTCCGTGTTCAAGAATACCTAAATAATATCAAAACATTTTAACCACAAACTTACACCCAGTTTGGATTTTTGTTTAGAACACTACCGTTTCTCCTTACTTGACTAAGTATTTAACTAAGATTTCATTAGTTAGTCGTGTTGTCGTATATAAAACTTTTTTTTCTATTACATAGATATTGTAAAATACAATTCGTTTTTTACTATTCATCAACCACTTTTATTGCTTTATGGAAATGGAACTGAAGCTTATGCTCGATTGTAGAAAGTACAACTCCCGTGAGACTTGTTATCAACTGGATTCGGTAGCTGAATCGCTCTAGGTATAAGTTTATCAAAAATCTTAATGAACCCATTTACTATTTAATGTTATAGTTTTTTTAGGCAAAAGCAAAACACATCATGCCTCATGAGATTTTAACCTCCCACCTCAGTTAACTCCGGATCGCAACTTGGCGACAAAATTGATACTTCAGTCTTTGCATCATGATTTTCAGTCACTTCAGCTTCAAAATCCTCATCGAATGCCACTGGTATTATAACATAATTATAACAGATAAAATGCAAGAAACAGAAACATACTTTCATTTATTTGTGTATTATAACATCCTACTTTTTATTTCTTTCCTAATATTACCACATTACATGTCCTCTTTTTCCTTATCAAGGCATTATAAAGCTCTACGCAACTATAACATCCTACTTTCGATTTTACTTTTCTTATTTGGCATTATGATTTGAAATATCTATCCAGTTATGGTATAACTCAGTAGATTCTCAAACTGCGATGTTGTAATAACCAAATCAATGTAGTATCATTTATTTGTGTATTATAACATCCTACTATCATTTCTTTCTTTGACAGCACTTTGCACTATCAGTTTTTTGCCTATGAAGGTATTGTACTTTAAACAGTGTACCCAATGAAAATTGCTTTGTCTTTGGATTATATTGCTATATTTGATAGATTTTCTAGGTACAATGTTGTAGTAGGAAGAAATGAAAGTAGGATGCCATAATAATGGAAGTGCATTGCTATTACACCTGATATGTTAATATTAATTTCCTGGTAATGGTAATAAATAAAGGGTAGGGTAGTTATGAGAATATATATATATATATATATATATATATATATATAATATATATATATATGTACCAGAACCGTAGAGAGTTAAGAGCTTCAACTCCTTCATGTAGTACTTTATGGCCGTTGGATGTGAGAGCCAAAGCCCTGTTAAATGTAATGCTGCAAGACGGATAGTACGCGGACTTCTTGTTCCTTCTTCAAGAATTTTCTCAACAAACTGCAGAAAGATATGCTAAATTTATTACGCCCATATTCTCTTTAACTTGACAGAAACAAGCACGCCAAGAAAGCTTCTACTCCAATAACTACTTTTTTTAAAAGTGAAGTTTGCATCATTACCAGTACAAATAACCGAAATGTTTATGTAATAATACCATAAAAACTCGTATTGTGGAAAAAACACAAAAAAATGAACGAGCAATAAAAAGATGAAAACTCAAAAAAACAAGAGGCCATTCCCGTTGAACCCATAATCAAAATTACATAACTGCAAAAGAACCGAATGAAAGAAACCAACTTTTTCAGTACAATTTTGGTTTTAAGCAAAAAAAAAATCATGGTTCGATATTCCGGTGTCCTAGGCGTAGTGGAACCACACCGGTCCATCCCTAACTTGATGGTTAGACTCCACTACGGTGATGATATTGTAGGGGAGATCCTATGGAAAAATAGGTCAATGCCAGGATGATAAAAAAAACTTGACACCTCCCGTTCTACTTCTTTAGCATGAAAAAAAAAATCAAAAGGTCTTCTTATTCGAAACCCCAATTATGACATCCCTTGTGTCCCACTTCACACCTCGTTCTTGTAGAGATAAAGGCACTTTGACATCTTAACCCGGTTACCTGAAATGGTTGGGAGAGCAAAGGGTACTGCTAGGAACAGATGGAGTGGGGACTGTAGCTCATAAGATTACAACAACCGGTCCATAAGGGAACTTGGGGTAGCAAAATAGCCGACCAAAAGCTATGGAACTTGGATGTGGGTGGGTCTTTTGTCGAAATGGAATGGCCCTTTTACTTATTATTTCTATCATACATATAAGTTCTCGAGTCTTCTTATTGTTATCATCATCAAACCCAAAATCCCATATGCATGGGGTAAGCGGAAGGTAGATGTTGCCAGTCTAACCTCTACCTGAGGGTAGACGACCGTTTCATGTTCTTGATGTTAGAAAACCAGGAAGAAAAACACAAATTTGAAGAAAAAATATGATAACCGTTAAAACCATGGAAAAAAAATGATAATCTTGAACCCAAAAACCGAACAAAATATATTTTTTCGAGGCTAGAAACCAACTCTTTTCATTTCAGTTTTAGGCAAAAATCGAGCCAACACTCGCCCCTATACTCACCGCGAATGCTTGGCAAATCTTTATCTGTGTGTATACATGTAATGTAAACATACATAATTAAGTTATATATGTATAGAAGGGGGGAAGTCAGGCAGAAGTTATTACGTACCCACTTCAAAGGCCCGGGGGTGTTGTCAAATTCATGCATGTCCATATTACCAAACACTGAATCATGTAAAACGGAAGATAAAAGTGCAGCAATAGGTGCAACCCTTCGCTTGTTACAACTGACATGCAATAACCACGAAGATCGTACCAAAAGCCACATCATCTGCAACACACAAGAAAGATAGTAAATTTTCAGCCATCTGATTTAGAAACCTGATACTGATACATATACCAACGATCTTAAATTTAAAGTACGGCTTAGATAGCAATGTATTTCCAATGATTTGATTGGTCAACTTTCATTTCTCATTATTATAGCATTGTACTTTGAAATTTCTACCCAATTATAGCAATGTCATCCAAATACAAATCATCTTTCACTGCTACGGTTGAGTACATCTTTTAAAATATAATGTCTTTATAAGAAGAAAAAATAAAACTACAAGGGTAGAGTTATCAAAGTAAAAAGTCTCAAGAAGAATAAAACTTGAAAGTATAATGTTGTAGACAAGACTAGGATGCTATAATTCACAAATAAAAGAAAGTACATTGTTAATCACCCATTGCTATCAAATAAATTAATCAACTCCTTGGTTTAACCAATAGCATCGGTAAGAGTAAGACACAACACCGGTGAGGTGGGGTGGGTTTATTCAACAGAAAAAAACTTGAGAAGTTTGGGAGAACCTGAACATCAATGGCATCAACATAGTATGAAGAAACAGCTGAACCTTTGCATCCTCCTCCTCCTCCTCCTAAAGCAAAATGATCCAGTACCAATCTGGCAGATCTTAGCATGGGCAGAACAGAACCTTCACTAGCATTTTCAAGGCTGTCAATTAATTGCATAACTAGAAAATGTTAGGAAGTCATATCTGCCACAATCAGTTATGACACATCACAAAAATTATATACAGAGTGTTTCTTTTTTACTTCATGGACATAATAACCCGGTAAGCTAATTTCTTTTTTACTTGATGGGGAAAAAAAGAGCCACAAAGATATGCAATAGAAATGATTCACGGAGGAGTCTTCTTGTGGCTGCTTTACCTGTCAACTAGATCATTGAAGATCCTTCTGACTACACCATCTGAGATGAAGTAATCACAATTTTCTATGAAAACTCCTCTTTCAAGAGCATGCTTTGATACTGACAACAGGGATTCCAAGCACATCCACTGAAACAATCACAAGCAGATCCACAGGATTAAGCATAAAATATGACAAATTAGCAATACATTCTCCATGCCCAATAAAATAAAATAAAAGCATAATATATGTTATTTCGATATAATTTAGAAAGGAGAAAAAACAAAGCCTTAATAGAATCGCAAAGGAATGGAAAGGTTATGGAAGAAGCAAGGTAGTCGAATGAATGATTACATTCCATGAATTTTCATATGAACTATAATATTATATGGTAGAACGCAAATACAAGTTATAGTTTCAACACTGTTCTAATATTATTTCACTATAATTAAAGAATTTATTATTTACAAAGCTATAAAATTACCAATGGACCTATGGCCCAACGGTATCTGGAGTTGTTGGAAAGGTGCCCCTCAACCAAAGGTTGAGAGTCAAGTCTCGTTTGGGAAGAAAGGTGTAGATTTAGGAGTAGAGTAGTGGGTGCGAGTTAACAGTACCAAAAAAAAAAAAAAGTAGAGTAAATAAAGGCTCATTAAAACCAAATAAGACTATAGAGAATATTTACAAGTTACTTTTAGAAGATAAAATTATAATTGAATTAGAACCATGAAATTTTAAAAAATATATCAAAAAGGTTAGTATCATAAAAATAGGTTCCATTCCATGATTAATGGAAAAAACAACCCCTCCCTAATGAATGATTTTTTAAAAATGGAAGCTAAAGGAGCAGACAATTCCATTCCATCAGGCAAAACAAAGAGTTATTTTTTCATTCATTATTCTGTGATTCCCTCAGATCAGACCAAACACTAATAGGTAATTAGACTTGGCAATTCGAGAACACGAATCTGTGAGTGACACAAATACATCTCGAAAAGGGAGATGAAGCTTATTTCTCTATGTGTATTCGTGTCGTATCTGACACGTGAAAACGACATGAATACAGGAATTGCCAGGTCCAACACTAATAAAAAGACCACATGAACTGAACAAACTCTTCATACTGTAGATGCTCACCTTCCAGTCAATTAATATTGCTCTTCGTGCCCGTGCCAAATATCCAGCCTCAATGAGATTATTGATGTTCTCCAGATATATCTCAACAAAGTAATCTATATGGGGTTTGACTTTGACTTGAGCTTCCGGATCCAAAAGATTATATGATCGGGTTAATAGACCCAATGCTGAAGGGGAAGGCATAAACACTAGTGACTTGAGAATATGATGCAACGCTTCATATGCTCCGAGGTAGATTTCTGCTTTACTCTGCATACAGGACCAAATTTACTATACAACAAACTCAGACTTTCATGACACCTTTAACCCCCATTTGTTCTTTCTTGTACTGTGTGTGATGAGCCTTGATGTCAAATATTGTTATTTTTTGTCCACCCGAAAGGTGTGTTCAAGGCCCACAGCTTAGCCCTCAATCTCTCATTTTTTTGCAAAAGACGTGAATGCCCTTAACATTGGAAATATCTAGTCCTATCCCGGGTAACAAACACAGCCTTACAGAGCTAAAGTACTATAATATAAGATGAACGTACGTACCTCTGAGTTGCATGTTGAGCAAGAAATTATCTTCCAAGAGAGTTGCCAGAGAACACTCAACGTAGAATTCAAAGACTCTTCTTCAAATTGTGCACAATATGAGCAGATTGATGCAAGAGTCTTAACTGACGTTATCTGTATGCATGCGGAAAATTAACAATAAAATCACCACCATCTGGACTATGACTAGAAGCAATGTGATTATGAAAGCCCTCGTATATACTTTAAGGGCTATAGCATGCTACTTTCATTTCTTTCTAGTACATCAAAAGAAAATTCATTAGTATATCTCCTCATTAAGGCATTGTACTTTGAAAAATCTACCAAACTATGGCATTGTATTTCCGATTATTTTTTTTTTCTTATTGGGAAACTATATATATATATATATATATATATATATATATAGCCCAGCCCATCATAGCATTTAAAGTATCTTTGTATGTGGATGATATTGCTATAAATGATAGAAGATGACAAGTATGGTTGCTATTTCTTGCACTTAACCCTAAGATCATGAAAGAGATATGGAGCATACTAGAAATCATACAGCTTGCAATACAGCAGTAGTGTTAGAAGATGACAAGCGCCGTTGACTAAGCCCTCCTAGCCTTCCTTTAATGGATGAAGGTAGAGTTGTGTCCCCACCCTCACCCTCCTCCTCCTTTGACCAGAAAACTAAACACGACTGCAGGGTATATGATTCCAGCTCCTTCTGCATGCAACTCATGTTAACAACTGCCACTAATCATTTCATTTGTATCTAATTCAATACAACATAGGGCTAAACACAGGAAATAGCATCTTTTTCTTATCAAGCGGAGCCATTTTACTTTGAAAAAATCTAGCCAATATTTTTAATTCATTTCTTATTAGGACATAAATACTTTGAAATTCTACTTGATTATATAGCAGTGAAAATTGTTTCATATTTGGGTGACACTGCTATAACAGGGTAGATTTTTCAAAGCATGATGTTGTAACTGAAAAAAAATGAAAGTAGGATGTTAGTAGGTTGCTATTTCTTGCATTTAACCCTGGAATATAACTTTCTATACCAATATGAAGGTGAAGAGTTTAGTGAACTTGTTAATAATCATGGAAGCATCCATAGACCCTGCATCATCCACCATATCAAGCAAACCATTGCTTCTTTTTCCATGCCTATCAAGTGTTAAGGTTTTCTTTTCATGGAGTTGTTGAATAACACTCAAGATTAGAATCATATATTTTACTGGCAACCACTCCCAGTGACCATTCTTATTGCAGATATCATTGCCATGTGATTCAATAAACTGCACCAACAAGTACAAGATATGTAAGCCTACTAAAAACCTGATGAACAGGGTAAGGTACTAGTGGAAATCAATCATGTCTCCAATGAGCAGAAAATATCAAAACGACCTTAAACAGGAAATTATTGTCTTAAAAATGTGACTCTGACAACCTTGCATAGAATTAGAAACCTCTTTTCACGTAACTCAAACTAATAGCACATTGGAATGGATCACTCATTTACTACTTTGAGAAACCTTGAATCAAAATTCAAATACATTTTGTGCTTAACCTCTTGTTTGTAGCCTTCTATACCGCAAAACAAAAAGATTATGCATTTGTACTGATTCCATGACAATTAATAATCTCACTCATCCAAAAGTAATGATTTCATGCTTGAATCAACCAATCCAAAAGAGAGCAATATAATGAGTAAGGGCCTTGAGATTTCAAGGGTCTAAGAATCTGAACTAAAGCATTTACTGCTGGAAGTATGCCCATGGTCACGCCAAACTGGGGTTGAGTGTACCATATGTCGAGTCGAACAACCCCAATTTTGTAAAAGGATTTAGAAGGGTCCTCATTTTGCAAAAAAAAAAAAAAAAAAAAAAAACCTCTTGTAAACTGCCCAATTTATAAAAAGGTCCCCTACATCATGATTCTTTTTCTCAATCTTATGAAATATAATTTTATCAACCATGAAGCCACAAAAAAATACCTGAAATAGAGAATCTAACTGATGTTCCTCCTCTAGTATAAGAAACAGTGTGTGTGCCCATCTTTTTGCTTTAAGCTCCCACATTTCCATGTCTTCATCGTCATAATTGACAATATCATTCTTTGAGTGATTATGATTTATAAAACTTGCAGGGAATTCATTAAGCTTTTTCATGAGCTTGAATGATGTAGAAGCTTGCTTTTTATAACCTCGAAGCCATTCCTGCCCTTTTTCTCTTAATGAACCTAGAAAATAACGGTGGTACAATAAGTAAAGTGATGCATACATATAACTGCTTCTGAAATAGGCCCAAAAAATCCAGTAATTCGGTCTGGTCGATGGCCTGGTCAACTCGGTCTAAATAAAGCCAACGATTATATATATATATATATATATATATATATATATATATATATATATATATATATATATAAAGAGATTAGAAATGATAACTGTGACCATGAGTTACATTTAAGCTTACCTCCATAGTTAAGAAAGTCCTGAGGGAAAGATGAAATAAAGTGAAGAAGGGTCTCGAGAGGCACATCAGATGATGACATTACTGAGATAGTAGCATCCAGAATCTTTCTGCACACTGCCAGTACTAATCGTCAGAAGAACTTACATAATGATGCACAACACAATACACATACTCAAAAAAAAACATAAGAAGGTATCCACTTCAGGGGTGTAAGCGAGCCAAGCTACCTGGGCTCATTAAAAGCTCCACTGGAGCCCGAGCTTAAGACATTGAGCTCGTTTAGGCCTGATATTTTAAATGACCTTATATATATATATATATATATATATATATATATATATATATATATATATATATATATATATATATATATATATATATATATATATATTATCAGGGCTAAATACATGAAATAGCAACATACTTTCAGTTATTTGTTTATTATTATTGCATCCTATTTTCATTTCTTCGTAGTACAGCACTGTACTTTGAAACTCTACCCAATTATATATAACTGAGAAGATTTTTCAAAGTACAATCAATGTCTTGATAAGAGAAAAGTTGAAAGTAAAAAGCTGTATATGGGTAGATTTTTCAAATTAGAATGCATTAAATAAGAAAAGAATTAGAAGTAAAATGAAAGTAAGACGCTATATGTAAGTACATTGCTATTTCTTGCTTATGATATACGATATATTTAAGTAGCAATCTTGAACCTTTAAGACGATAATTAGGATTGAAATGTTGTTTGCTGGTGTCAAGGATAAATCTGAAAACATCAAGTAATGCTGCCTTATCATTGTAACTAGTATCTGTATCTGCAGCTTCCAATTCCAAATCAACTGCTTTCTTGTTGAGTCGCCTAACCCCAACCCCATCAGCAGCAGCCGCAACACATTCAGCAAGGCTCATCAATCCCGCCCGACTAAAAGACTGGTTTTTTACAAGTAATGCTACATCCATCAACAATCTCATCTGCTCCCTGAGACATTCATTACCAAGTCAATGGTCTACAAAGTATTTGGATGAATGATAAAATGGAAATAAATGCAAATCACAAAGCTCCTTTCCCTCACGGCCTCTATTAGGTCCTTCTTTTAAATGATCCATTACATCAGAAAGAAACCAACACCTATGTCATGTCATCTGTCCCACAGGTCCTTGGCAACTTTTGCAACACAACACTTGACTAAGAAGAAATTGAAAATGCATCACTGTATCTATAAAAAAAAAAAAAAAAAAAAAAAAAAAAAAAAAGATTACTTTATTTGGTTTCCAGGTAGAAAAATTTACCCTTCACTTAGACACACAGTATATTGCTGTAAAAATGTGCCAGCACCATCAATTGTCCTTGAAGAGTAGACTCCTTTTAGTCCTAGAGAAAAATTAAATAACAAATTGAGGAAACCAACAGTCGGTAGACAACTAAAATATAGGAGTATTTGTTAACCAATAAATATCGATTTTTAAATGGCTTCTAATACAGTTACCATTTTAAGAAAAATACAATGATTATATTTAATAGCCACTTCTCCGAACAAAATCAAGGTGAGAGTTTCAACTTTCAATCCCCATGTGGATTTGGCTCTTATTCCAGCCACCTACCGGCACGATGTGTGGGCTACATATAGGTGTTGCTGGAAGAATAACCCTTTTGCAGAAACAATATATGAAAACTAGCTATGAAAAAACAATTTATTTGGATGGTTTTGATGATATAAACCAATAAAAGACATGAATGAGAAAGAAAAAGTATGGAGCAAACCGAATTCTTTGTGGTGCACAGGATCATTCAGCCCTTGTATGAAAGAACCAAGTACAAAATCTCTAGGCACAAATTTCGCATAATTTCCATGCTTCTTCCATTCTATCCCAAAAACCGACTGCATGACCAAACACCGGACTGCACAATAAGAAGAAACATTTTAGAAACCTTTGTGGTTGTTGCCTGCCTGGATCATTCATTGATGTCTAAAACAAATGATGGCAAAATGTAAGGAAAAGCCCAAGTTGTAATAAGGAAAGTCTCATGTCACTGACTTCCTCTATTAAGCTGTTTTCAAGTCAAATTCGTTCGTTTATGCAGCAGATATAAGAAGAAACACTAAGGCCCTGTTTTTTTCTTTTCCCATTAAGTGTTGTCTAGATTAAAAAATAAAAATAAATAAGTGTTTTAAATTTTGAAAAAATGACTGGTGCACTTGGATAAGTCTAAGGAAAATATAAATGAGGACAACTTTGTAAAAAGTTATCACTTAATGGGGAAAGTCTCATTTCCTTGACAATCTGTATTAAGTCAAGTCGTTTTTTCTGCATTAAGTCAAACACCATACTACCTACATATACAAGAAAAAACCATAAGTCATGTCCCCATTAAGTCAAAAAGAAACAACACTAATGACCCTTATAATTTACAGAAAACCAATTTTGTGATGAGTATATATGAATAGACTGCTTGCCTTGAGGATTATCATGGCAAAGCCCTCGTTCCCACAGCACAGCTAACCAATCAAACATATCTTGTACTGTTTCCATAGGATCAAGTTGAAGCCTTTCACCAACAGCCTTCAAATGATTATCACAAGATTCAGAGGTCTGGAGCAACAGGTTCATCTGCACAAAACTCAAAGTCTTAAGTTGAACTCTGAAAGAAAAAAAGATGGAATCAGAGACAAAAAACCTACATATGTATAAACAAAAAGGTGAACGAACCTGGTAATTCCATGCAGCCTCAACAAGATGAGTACCATACTCTTCAAGCATTTCATAGAGCAAGAAAAATGCACCCCATTTCAACTCACTGCTTGAATCAGAATCAACTGAATTATTGCATAAGCTCTCTATACCAAGAGATTTCGCTTCCTTATTAGCCCAACGCTCTTTTTTTGTCAAACCATGAGAGTTTGAACTAGTCTCATTGGATATTGTCTCCAAAACACTTGTGTGTTGCTTTCCTTTACTCCTTGTAGCTGTACTCTTCAATATATGTAATGACTGTTTCCTCACTATGCTTTCTTTGTCAACCTAGTATTTTTTATTTTTAAAAAAAAAAACTTTATAAATTGCAGAATGTTTTTAATAGAAATGGAGTAAGGTCAAAGGAATTGGAATCCCGACGAATTGTATGCTCATGAAATTGCAGCCTGTCACTAGTTTGGTTGGCAGGAAATGAAAAAGAATTCAATGATTAAAATTGAACAATTTTACTATATGGTGTGTGTGTGTGTGATGGGGGTATGTTGGTCTTTTCATAAAAAATGAAGAACGGAATTGACATATCCATCAAACATGGAATTTAAAGGATTTTGATGGAAGGGAACTCCGTCGATTTGGCAACCAAGATGCGCCATGGAATGGAATCTCAATTCCAATTCCATCAGATTCCGTCAAACCAACTACGCCCCTAGTGTAAAGAAACAGATAGAGATATATACCAAGCCATTCTTCATCTCGTCCCAGAACTCCTTCTGGGCCCTCAGATCAAAATCAAATGTTCCATTATCCTCACATCCATCGGTCTTGGAGAAATAAGATATATACAAAGAGAGTACAGTATATGCATCTCTTCTCTCAGAAGACCCCAGCTGAAACAAATTCTTGCAGCATTTCCAAATCTTAGCACAGAAATCCTTCCTGGAGAGTACAAGAGACAATGTAACATCCATCATCTTCACATAGTAGCAAAGCCAAAAACAATACAAGGAGGAGACTTGAATATGTGTGTGTGTGTGTACCTGGATAACACAAATTTTGGGGTCTGAAACACATTTGCAGATACAAATGCTTTGAAAATGTGTGGAAGGAAAACAGTGATGGCACAAGACCGATGTTCAGGGGTGTGTGAAAGCATTTGCAAAGTCATGCTACAAATATCCCAAACCAGGTTTCCCACACTGCATCCATTTGCCAAAACTGATCCTGATCCAGACCTACTTTCTGAAACTGATTTACCTTTTACACCTAAAGTAGATGCCAACATATGGCATGCCGTCAACAATGGGAAGCTGGTCAGGGTGGAGTCTTGAGCAGTCCACCTATATTCTTCATTTTCATGCATTCCCATGCTGAAACCAATCACTTTGATAAGATACGCAACCATAGTTTCTTCTAATACCCCCCATGCATTTCTTTCTTTCACGGCATCCAACAAACAACCCATGACCTAAATCAAAACCATATCATCAGCAAATTACCTACTTCATAAGATTTAACCCTATTTATTACTTGGGCCTAACCTTGTCAACTATCGCACGATTATAACTCTGTGTCAACCTCATCAACGGAACTAACACCCTCCAAACAAAATTCCGTAAACCTTCAACATTATTAAGCCCTGCTCCTGCACAAAAATAACTTTAACTTTTAACTTGCAGGAACAAGAAAGTAAGAGTGTACATGGAATATTATCTTATCAAATTCAACTTCAGAAAAGGAAAAGTCTATCTACAACAATATGAACGATTTGCTTTGCTGTCAGCTAACCGTTATTTTCTGGGTTTCTCTAATGTGCTTTTTCAATAACATATTGTTAGATATATATTAAACTCAGTTAAGTCTTTTTATTCTATGAAGATAAGCTACAACAACTTGATCCGTTTGGCTTTTGGTGTGCTTATCAGTTGTTTTTGGCGATTAAATTGTAGTATACTTCCATAACATGATTTTATATATGAATCTATTGATATTTTGTAATGAAATGATGCCTAAGTGGTTTATTTAGAATATCCAGTAGACAGTGGTGTTGTTTCTGGAACTAGGTGCTCAAGTCATGTACAAAGCATGTCAGCTAAAACACTTGGCAGCCAATTGATAATATAGACTTTATGTATGCTGAATTAAAGGGTGATTAGCATTTCATATCATTGTATTTGCCATTTGTGCCCAGCATACTTTCACATATGCCAAAATAAAAATAAAAAACTCAAGTTGGCAAAAATTAACGTATGTTTGTTTTCCCCACAAAAGGTTCTTTGGAGATGTTTAAGATATTTGAGAAAATGATGGCACACTTGGGTTAATGGAAGGAAAATAATAATAGCAAAACCATATAAAATAAAATAAATAAGGAGTTTTTTTTTTCTGAAATAACTCAAAAAGAAAACCATATATAGCTTTAACTGACTAATCATGACCGCATTTAGTCCAGTAAATTAGGAAGAAAAAAATCAGCACCTTTAAGATATGCTGAGAATACCATAATAGATCACTCACTCTAACGTGTTTAACTATTTTTCTGTTTCGTTTTCCAAGTGTTGGTTGTTTGAAAAAGAAGTGGATACAGTGATGTGAATCGTGAAATGCTAATCACTCATGGACTTTATATACACTCCAATCCCAGATTGAAAAGTTCACAAGACTCATTTCTAAAAACATCACTCCGAGTCCATATAAATAAGCAACTTCGAAATGTGACCTTGCATTCAAAAGTATAATTTAGATATTTATAGAGCAACATGTTGTTTACCTGGTTTCTTCAAAAGGTGACAGAGCGCACCCACATATGATGCAATATAATTACAACACTCATCATCCAAGATTTCTTCATTCTCATGTGTAATCTCCTATTACAGAAAACGAATAGCCATGATTAATATATTTGATTTGATTAAAATCATGAAAATCTTTTAAGACTAGAAATTTCACAAATTAAAAATGGATTATATTGCAAGTTGTTATTCCATTCCGATTCAAAGGATAATTAACAAAGCGGAATGAATCAAGTTCCTTCAAGAATGGTCCATTCCATTCCATCATGCAAAATCAACAGTGACTCAATCATACCAATCATATTACTCATAGCAAACACTACTTTGGTTATAGTTTTTTCAGTTTTCACTTTTACTTGATAGTTGTTTGCAGTGGGCGTTAGTATAAATTGGATTGACCACAAACACTACAAGAATTACTTATATGTTTGAAATTGAAGGGCTCGATGCTCATGTTGACCAGAGTAAAGCTTTAAGAGTTAGCATTTACTAGCCTGATATGTACCTACTGAAGCAGTTTCAGATTACAGAATATCAACGGTTTAAAGTTCATCCAGCAAAGATGACATTCTGAAGATGGAATATTAGTTGCCAGCAGCTAAAAAATACAACAATTGTTCAAGGGCCAACTAATGAAGATTTGGTCAAACGCAGTGATCAGGATTTAACATCAGTTCAACTGCGCACACTAAAGGACTCGTCCAAAGTGGCACAGTTGTTGCTGATGCTAAAGATGTGTTGTCATAGATGTATGACTCAACACTTGAAAGGTTTATAAAGACCCATCGAATCTCTGAAAAGTTGTCTAAATCTTTTGACAGCCTGTTTGTCTTATTAGTTTTGCCAAGCGCATGATGCCATTTAAAGGCTTCATAGACAAGGTTTGAATGAGCAAGCTTTTAACCAAGACATTATTCTTCTATTATTTTTGTAACATATTTAGCTTCAAATTTGAATCAATTTAGTAGGTGGCAGGGGTTTTAGCTGTGACTGGAGCGTTTCTGTAACGCTTACACAAACAATTAAAATTGTGATACTTACCATTGAAAAATATATATATATATATATATATATATATATATATATATATATATATATGAAGAAAGTATCGGCAATTCACAATATTAGTTGCGACATCATCTCAATATAGACCAAATTACCTGTAAGAGGATGGGAAGTGCATCAAGGAGCAACGAGAAAAGCAATGGTGGAGAGGAGGTTGTTGACGCTAAGATGCAATCTAACGTAGCTGGTATGGCAGACGGAGGGATACGTCGGAAACTGGACATGAGTGATGTTGCGTAATTCGTCATTATGTGTGTGCCTTTGCGATTAGGTTACGATGAGGGTTTATGTAAGCAATAAACTATGGAGAGAAATCCAAAAGGAATCTTGCCGGGGGGGAAGTGAAGCAAGAGCAGGTTGATCGATAGAAACGGCTGCTAAGGGTTTAGCAGGGGCTTTACCTGTCTTTTTTTTTAGGAAACGCAAAATTGGTCTGGTATTCAAAAAATACTGTCTCCTTCAAAACTGTGGGTTTTTTTTTTTTTTTTTTTTTAAGTAGGAAACTGCAAACTTGATCTGGTATTCAAAAAAATTTGGATAGGGATGGAAGATCCAAAATCAAAGTTTTACTGAATTTTTGGTCCCTGATACACTGATACACTTAAAAAGACAATTTTACCCTTTTCATTTTTTTTTCTATTTTCTTTATTTTTTTATATTTAAATAAATAAAAATGAAAAATAAAAACTAAAATCTCTCTCTATCTCTCTCTCTCGGACGTCATTCAACCACCATCACCACCACCATATGCTTGGTGGAACCCTACATCATACACCATTGATTACCCCATATAAAAACTAAAATCTCTCTCTATCTCTCTCTCTCGGACGTCATTCAACCACCATCACCACCACCATATGCTTGGTGGAACCCTACATCATACACCATTGATTACCCCATTATCAACGTCCAGTCATAGCAAAACACCACCATAAACCTACCATTTAACCTCTGTTCTGATCATTATCTCCAATGTCAATTTTCATCAAAAGATTTTTGATGTCGTAGCAATTCTAAACTGGTTTCTGGTGATCATTTTCCTTGCTAGACACCCAAGAGCTCATATATCAGGAGCTAATTCCAATTTATTTTTCCTAATTTATCACCTGTACATTCTAGCTTCGTTCATGAATTCCTAATTTCACTAACTTGTGTGTACCAGATTAAAGAGATTTGTTTTGAATTTGTGTTTCAGATTAAAGAGATTGTGCCGCGAAATAGGAGATGGAAATGATGAAACCCCTGAAATTGAACCATGGAAACCCTAAAATCGAACTTTGATAACCCTAAAATAGGGCCTTGAAATTCCTCTTGTTGTTCGGGGCTAATAATTAACTCGCCGGAGAGCTATATCACCACCACCATCTTTCATCAGAATATATGAACTGTAACTGATGGTCTTACCTTCATCACATGGAAATACGAATACAGGGGAAGACGCAGAGTATGAGGATACTACAAGCTCTTCATCAAGAAACCGAGACATTGCATAGCTGATGTCATACCCATTTATGGTTGTCTTCAAGCTTCCATATCACATCCCAACACCACCACCAACAATTGCAATTGTACGCAAGGTATTTTTATAACAGGGAAAAAGGAAAACTGATATATATATATATATATATATATATATATATATATATATATAAAAATGAAAGAGAGAGAGAGGCGAGAGAGTAAATGAGAGTGAGAGAGAGAGAGAGGCGAGAGAGTAAATGAGAGTGAAAGTACGAGGCCCTTCACACCACTTTTTGTCTGGTCGAAAACTTTGAGCTTCTATGGTCGATCTAGCTTAAGACTACCGAAGTGGCAGCCATTTTTATGAAGACGATCTTGGATATCTATTTGTGTGTGTGAGTCTGTGAGAAAGAGGGGGGTTGTGGTTATGGGGTTTATTTTATTTTCTATTTTTCTATAATTATTTAAATACTAAAACAAATAAAAAATATAAAAAGAAATAATAAGGGCAAAATAGTCCTTTCAACTTTTTCAGGACCAAAAACCCAGAAAAACTTTGATTTTGGACCTTCCATGCAAGTTGAAAACTTTTTGGACCCTATCCAAAGTTTTTTGAATACCACAGGGACCAATTTTGCAGTTTTGTCTTTTTTTTCGAGAAAACTGCAAAAATAGTCTAGTATATTTGTGGTTTTGGGTTTCATGGTCTTTTGAAGTATGTTTGTGGTTTTAGTACCTCGGTAAATTCATAAATTCAAATGACTGTAATGCCCTTCTGATATATTTTTTATGTTTTTTCTCTTTAACTTACATGAAAAAAAATTAATTTGGGATCGCATCTCTCTCTCTCTCTCTCTCTCTCTCTCTCTCTCTCTCCTCGAATTACATATCATCCATGAGAACGAATTTTGACTATCAGTAACCTTAGTCAAATAACACATACACACATGGAACTCTAATCTTTACTATTCTTAAGATTCCCGATCACCATCATCAGAATTCTTTCCATTTTTTTACGACCCATCTATGTTAATCGGAACATTAACATCGACTACCTTTATAAGCTTGAAACCATTAAGAACCGGCCACCAATTTTGACATTCAAATCGCTAATTCTTCAAACCAAAAGGATCGTCAAATCAATTCCTTAATTGCTTCCTGAACCACAACACAAGTTGGGGACTTCATCGATAAAATTGATAAACGTTAGTCATAGCCACATCCTAATTTATCCAAGCATTCTCGTTCCTTCTTCGGTTAACAATATTGATCGTGACTATAAGAACTAGCTTCAATCCACAATCATTAGAACACCAGATTTAATCGTTTTCTTTGTTTGAGTCAACCAATGTGATAATCAAATCTACATGCCAGTCACTTTGACGAGATCATTACATGTGAAACATCAATTATGACTATCCAAAAACTTATTTGACTAATTAATATTCAATTTTGACTATCGCTTCATCACATCGTGAATTTTGACCATCGCTTCATCACTACACCATCTTCACATAACCTTCCCATCACTTTCACAAAAGAAAGAGACTAATACGTTAGGAAAAGGAACTAACTAACCTGATTGGATTCTAACCACCACCCCTTTGGTCCTCATCTTGTTGATCTGGTTACTGACACTTAAAAGATGTTATATAGCACCCAAACGATGGTTGGAACTTCACAAATCTCTCAACAATGCTCTATTTCCTCTTTTTTTATATCTTCATCGCCGGAGAAAACAATCTCACAACTCTCCTCTCCGCCGTACAAAGCTCACTAGAGAGAATCTAACGTCCCAAAAATATGATCCAAAAAATTCATTTTTAATTTAACTAAAACAGTATCCCAAAAAAATTATTCATACAACTCAAATGAAAACAAGTATCTCAACATCAGAACAATCAGAGTGATATCTCAAAAGCGGAATCCATGTGGTTTGTGCGATGCAGACAACCCGAGCTCTTACCCTTGGAACCAGAAGTACTTGAAACATAAACTGAAAATCGTAAGCACAAAGCTTAGCGAGTTCCCCAAAATACCACATACCATACATAATAACATATAATGGGCCCTGCCCTGTCATCGAGCCCCGTCCGGCATCGAGCCCCGCTAAGTAAGCAGATCGGGCTCCGCCCAACATACATATAACATATAACATATATCAAGTAAACATATATACATGCAATAATCACAAAGATACATAGCATACAAAATGGTCATCGGGCCCCGCCCAGCATCGGGCCCTGTCTGGTAAACATATAAGCACATAACACATGTAAGAGTCACGCAGACAGCTAGCATACTAACATAGCATAATCATGGGTCGGCATTGGTGCCTTTGACCCGCTAAACCCAGTGAGGAAACTCACCTCGCACTGCTGAATCAAACAGATAATTCCTGGCTGTTGGTCCGACAAATCCCCGAGCTATCAATATCAAATAAAATCCAATTGACATTTGGGTTCCAATCATAACCATAAATCCATACTTGGGGTAAAAAGACCCTTTTACCCTTAACCTAGATTGGTCCAGGACTAAGGCCCAATCTCACAATCTAAAAGGCCCAAAAGTCAAATAATCCACTAAGGCCTAAATATGGCCCAATTTCTAATTGGGCCCAATCCCTTCTCATGGGCCTTAACCCAAGGCCCAATAATGTTTCTGGCCCAAAACTCCCAAATTCAGATGGCCCAACTAAATCCCAACCTTCTAAGCCCAAAACATGGCCCAAACTCAAAACCCAAAATCGCAAAGCCACCTGACTGAGTATGCGGAGCGTACTGGCTCAAGGGATTGTACGCCCAACGTACTCTTCCAGTTTAGCCACCTTCTACTTTCAGTTCTTAACTTATTAAGACTTCACTCCAGAATGTAGATTTGACTTCCTTGAGCTGGATTACCACGTAAAGTTGCTACATTTACATACATGCATGGCTATATGAAGCTCTTAAGCTCAACAAGGACTTAGGGGCTGTTTGGCAGGATCTGAATTTTTAAGATCTGAATTTTTAAGAGGTCTGAATTTCTAAGAGGGTCTGAATTTTTAAGATCTGAATTTTGAATTGTTGTTTGGTTGGAACCTCTGAATTACAGTGATGAATTATTAAAATGACCATTTTACCCTTTTGTATTATTATTGCTAAATTCAATGTTTTTGTTTATAAAACAACCAAATCAAAATTAAATGTATGAATAATTAATTATTAATTTATGTACAAATCTATAATTCTATCTATAATTCCAACTGGAAATGATTTCCTTTTGATGATTCTGTCTTTTCCTGTTGCTTTCCAATAACCATTCATTGTTGCTCGGCTTGATCTTCCACCATTTGGATACTTTCTATCTCGTGGGTTGAAAAAGAACCATTGTCGATCACCTGATTTTAGTTTTGATTGACCTGAATTTAAGAAGACATTAGTTAGTATCAATTGTTGAAAGATTTAAAGATTTAAAGATTCTTTCACATGATCACTTTCAAAACAACAATACAACCAAAATTCCTCTAACCAAACAATAGCATACAACAAAAGAATCAAAAGAAGAATATACAACAAGATTCTACATGACAAGATCAAGATAAGTAATAAACAATCATGTAACTAATTCAAGAAACAATATACAAATGACCAGGCTATACAGAATCAACCCCATCAATCAAATAATCGAAACACTTGAAGAAGTGATAAACCTAATGATTCAACAATCAAAAGAAATCAAAATAAACAAACCCTAATGACCAAATAATCACACAATCAAAACACTTCATGGAATAAGATCATATACTTACTATTCAACAAAAAAAATGAAACCCCATATCGGTAAACAAATCCAAATACAATTAGTGATATCAAGAGACAGTAAAATATAGTAAAATTAAGCGAAGGAATGTATGCATACTAGGTAACTCTTCTGGATCCCACTTGTAAACATCAACTTCGCCGATGATGTCGAGCTTGAGCGACTGACCACAAA